AGTTATTTTAAATTGTAATAATATTTCACAATTTTTACTGTATTTTTGATCAAATAAATGCTGCCTTGGTAAAAAGAAGAGATATAAAAAATGCAATTATTCCTAAATTGTGACTGGTATTGTTTAGTCTGTCTCCTGCAGTTTATCTGCAGTGAGAGTAAAGAGAAAACTATCTTTAGGAGTTGTCAGACTGATCTGTGACTCTCTGTGTCTCTGAGTCTCTGTATCGTTCAGCAGCAGCAGTAACACATGAGTCACGGCGCAGGATTGTGTCTCCCTCGGGCCTCAGCGCAGACTTTATGAGTAAAACATTCCGCTTTCCTGTGGCCTGGAAAACACACACACACTCACACACACACACACACTCACACACACTCATCCACAATAAAACACTGTCTGCAGCAGCCAACAGGAAGTAGTTGATCCACAGATCTGTTTGAGGTTTCTGTAGCTTATGAATATCACTACATTCAGTCATGAGTCCCTGCTAATTTATGGAGTTTGTATCTCTCTATGTAATATTACTCTTTTATGTTTCTAATATATTGGCTAAAACATCTCAAGCCAAAATCAAAACAAAATAACTCTTCCCACATTTCAGTGGGCTGCTGACAATCGAGGAGGGATGAAATATGAAAATAAATCACAATGCAAAACAACAGGCTCGATTTTCTTCCTGTCTTTTGAGTTTTTGGTGAAATATTTTGATCTGAAGACGAGGTTCTAGATTACTGGTTTGTTTAGTTATTAATTGTGTTGTGTGTCCTCAGATGGAGTTTAATGAGAAGGAGCTGCGCAAGGAGATCAGCTACGCCATCAAGAACATCCACGGCATCAGGCACGTATGTCCTTCAGTTTGAACTCGCTCTTTACTGCGTCTCGCTCGTCTTTAGGCCAAGAAACGTGATGCTTGGGCTTCAGTGACTAACTTTTGTCATGCTAATTATGGCTTACTTTATGATCCTCCATTTGTCCAACAGATTATGTCTCATAATGTTTATGCACCATATTACTAAACTATGTTTTTTACTTTCTTTTTTGACAACCACCATAAACAAACGTGGTTAAAAAAGTGGTTTTCACTCAGAATTTGTTAGTTAATTTCACAAAAAATGCAAAGAAATGACAATTAACACAATGAATGAACTTTAAATTTTGAAGTAGAAAAACTGAAATAGTATTTTCATGAAAAATGCACTACAATAATCTGTTTTATTCACAAAAAATAATTTTCATGTTTAATTCTTTATAATTTATTACTATTAATTATAGTTGGTTCTTTGTAATTTAAATTTACTAGCATTATTTTAAGTAAAAAATTGTTTCTGAAATTGAATTTTATTTGATTTAATATTATTATTTATTCATATTACTTTTTTTATTTAATGCATTTTGTTTTGATGCAAACAAAATAATAACTTTACAATAAGGTCCCATTAGTAAACATTAGCTTACATTAAACATTACATTTTATTAACTATAAAATATAATTAAATTTTATTAATTAATTTAGTAATTAACATTAACTCACATTGATAAACTAAATTGCTAAATAAAAAGTATTTTTCATTGTTAGTTAATGTTAATTAATACAATTATCTACTGTTAAAATTTTTATTATTTTCTTTGCATCAAAACAACATGCATTAAATTCTAAAAGAAAAAATAAACATTAAGATTTGACATTTTCGCTGAATTATATATATAAACTAAACTAATACAATACACATTAAGACCCTTTCCATCTTTCTTTCCACCCAATATGTCCTTTCTACTGGTGCTGCTCTCATTTCAGCTTTAGTTTTGTTGATATGTTGAGCTTCAGTGATAATTAAATTATCACACTGAACTTAATTTGATACATTTAAATGCGTTAAACATGTTAAATGTAACAGTTGAGCGCAGCTTCAGCAGGAAGTTTGGAGCCATTTTTTCAGTTCTTCATTCTTTTCTTATAGTATTTCTTTTGCATTAACGATCTTCTTTCCGCCCAATTTCTCCTTTTCTTTCTCTCCTCCGCCTGTCGTTCTTTCCCCTCCGTTCTCTCCGGCGGCAGAACTGGGCTCTTCACGCCGGACATGGCCTTTGAGACCATTGTGAAAAGGCAGATTGGGAAGATTAAAGAGCCGTGCCAGAAATGCGTGGACATGGTCATTTCTGAGCTAGTCAATACTGTTAGACAGTGTACCAAGAAGGTAAAGGCCTGCTGGAGGCTTGGACCCAAACCAGTGCTGTGAGACTGTGTTTGTGTGCCTGCGGCTTTGGACAGAGGGATTCTGGGTAGAATGGCAGCATTAGCTTCTGTACGGAGGGCCGCGGACGCTGAGGCTTCACCGCTAGATGAGCGTAGTTCATTGTTTGATTTCTGTTTAATTTAGATGATTTTGCTCCAGGCTGGGTTATGCGGTTGCCAGAACTTTACCGAAAAATAAAGATTTGACATTTTACAGATTGAATGATTACATTAACTGTAATCATTTTAATCTGTTTTTTATCTTTGTAACAGACTATCATACACACAAATAAAAAAACATCACGATTTTACGTTGAAGCAACTTTCACTCTAGAAATTGCTATAGACAAAAACACAAAGAAACAGCAAGTAACACATTGAATTAAATATAAAATTTAAATTAGAAAGACTGAAATATAGTATTTTATTGTAAAACATACTCCGAAGAAATCTTTTTTATTTACACATTCAAAAAAAAAAAAAATCAGTTTTAGTCATTTTCATGTGTTTTTACACATTTATTTTTATTGTTGTGCTTTTGTTTTTTTTATATTTCTTCTATTTAGTTTCAGTTTTAGTAATTTTATGTATATTTGAAATATTCTTTAAAACATTAATGTGTTTAATATTTTGTATTTTTATTTATTTATTTATTTTACAATGCAATAAACCTTAACTTAACATCACACAGTAAAATGTAGCATAAAACCCAAATGTACACAGTAAAAAAAGATTTTTGTTGGAGTACATTTTACAAGAAAACACTATTTTAAAACTATTTCAAGATTTTTTTCAAGATTTAATTCAACGTGTCATTTGAATTTTTTTGTGTAATTGTTCGTGAAATTTACAGTTCGTGTACAGTTTGTTTTTACACCAATTTTGGGAATGTCCATTTATGGGTTTTCATTGCAAATTACAAGATGACTTTTTTTTTGGTATTTTGTACATGCAACTTTTAGATAGTTTATGAAAAATGATTTCATAAAATTGACTATTAATACAGATGCGGCTTCCATTGTATCCAACGTATTTTCTCGAGTTTTGACACCTTTCCAACATGACTCGAACGCACCATCATTGCTTTATCTTTACAGTATTTACGGTTATAATAGCATTCATTTTTACAGCATAACTCCGATGCACATCAGCATCCAAAACCCAAACGTAATGCTTTTCCTCTCATGAAGGATGTGTTCATCTAGCAGACCTCAGCCTCCTGAACTCTCCGTTGTTTAGAGGCAGAAGTTTCGAGGAAGGCAGAGATGCGGCTGATGGCAGTCTGTGATTTGATGAATAAATGCATTGCAGAAGAACTCGGGAAGCTCTCGGACTGCCTTCGGTTCGCACAGCTGTGTTCTGGAAGCTTCTGTCGAACGGCTTGAGGAGAAACCAAATGTCTCACTTGCCTTCTCTTTCCTCTGTGCTGTCTGTCTGTCTGTCATTCTTCTTCCTCTTTCTTCCTCTTCCTCCATGACTGTCTCTACAGGACAGGCCTGTTCACCCCCGACCTGGCCTTTGAGGCCATAGTGAAAAAGCAGATCCAAAAGCTAAACGGGCCGTGCCTGAAATGTATAGATATGGTCGTGAGCGAACTCGCCTCCACCATTCGCAAATGTAGTGAGAAGGTAAAGCGGAACGAAGCTATGTTCGTCCTCGTCTCTCTGTAACGTACGGATAGACCGATGGCTGGACTTTACATGATCTGTGGTTGAGAATGTAGGTCTTTTATATAGTTTCAAGAAATAATGCACAGAAAAAATATCATTTTGTTATCATTGTCGTTCCAAACCTCTTCATACAAACATTAAACGTGTCTAAATGATGACAAAATTGTCATTTCTGTGTGAAATGTTGCTGTCGTCAGCTGCTTCATTATTATTATAATCATCTTTACATTCTGGACAGTCGCTGCGTTTATCTGTTCTCCTCATTCTGCTTGTGTAGTGCAGAGCATTGTGGGATTGTTTTGATACCGTGACATGTTTCTCATGAAGTTTAGACGTTTATTTGATTTCGTGTAATTGAGGATCAGCTGAAGACAGATGTAATGGAGTGTTTATCAGCTGTTGAAACAGTATCAGATTCAGATTTGAAGAAGAAAGACAGAGGAGTCATAATTATTTTTCTTGTACTGTACATACTTTCACGTTTTAGAATCTGTTGTTTTAGTGTGTTTAGTAGTATATATATATATATATATATGACCCTGAACCACAAAACCAGTCATAAGTAGCACGGGTATATTTATTGTATGGGTCAAAATTATCCTTAAATGTATTTGTATTTCATTTTCAGATTTAGTAATTTTGTTATTTACTTTTGTAATGTTTTTTTGTAATATTTCTTCTATTTAGCTTTAATTTATTTTGAATTTACTTTTATTAATTTTAGTACTTCAGCTTAAACTTATTTTAAGTTTGTTGCCAAGGCATAATTTTCTAAAGTGTTTTTTGTTGTTGTTTTTAGCTCATTTAACATTTATATTTTAATTTCACTGATGTGCTAATGAGATCACACTGTAAACACTGCACGTGGATCAGACTATTTTAATCAGTGCTTCAGGACAGTGTCTGTATTCTCAGGTTTTGTCATATTTATACGTCATATTTAATCTGAAATTTTTTTTTTTTGCATAAAAGTGGCATTAAAAGCCCATTTTTTTTATCGTTTAATTTTTGATGGCAAATTCTGATTTGAAAGAGAATGTGTGCCATTGGTTGTCAGTGTTCTGTGATTTCTTATATAGTGTTGAAGATGAAATAACATTACTCCTGTAGGGATCTATATAGTATCGTCTGTTTAGGGATCTAGTCAGATTTTGCTCATATAAATGTTGAATAAAACTAGGATTCATCCATCAGTCCAGCAACTATCGGTCTATCCTTACCACTCAGTTTTCATCCTGGTTTATTTTGTCTGTGTCAGTTTAATTTACTAAGAACTTGTGTCCTTTTTTACAGAAGCGTAGCGATTTCATCCAAACTCCCCAGTTTAATAACGCATGCTCCCTGGTTTGGCCCTGTTTTTTGCGTTTTCTCAGTTATTGTTGGTTCTGTCGGATGTGTGTGTTTTAGTTCTAGCGTGAGAATAACGTGTAAGTGGCTCGTCTCTTTTGTTTGACATTCATGGAATAACTGATGCTTCAGGCTGGAAGATCTTCTTATACCAGCAGACTAACCGTCACACCAGAACATCTCTGTTTCTCTCTCATCCCCTCTTTCTCTCCTCTTTTATCATTTCATCAACATTGTATTCTGCCTTTTGTGGATTTGGACTGAATGTTGTTTTATGCCTAAAAACCAGAAGAAACAGCTCACCCAAAAACACCAGTATTCACTCACCTTCAGCTTCCAAACTCGTATGTTGTTGTTTTTTTCCTTGAAGCACAAAATTTGATTTTCTGAAGAAGCTCCAGAATAGACCCCAAACCCCCATAAAAGCATCATATATGCAAAATAGCAGTCAATATGAATTATACAAGTCATATGAAGCAAGACCTAAAATTAAGTCTTCATTCGCTTAAGATTGAAGCTTATTCAAACATATTATTTTACACATGCATGCATCAAGGCGCAATATGAATTTAAACTTGATTCATAAATTAGGAAAACACAATAATTCAGTCAGTTTTATGTCGTTTTTGGAGCTTGACAGAAATGAAAAAGAGCTGCATGAAGATTTTTCAGAAATTCTTCTTGAGCATCATACGTGTTTGGGACGACACAAGGGCGAGTAAATGTCCTTTAAGTGAGACGAAATAACACCAGATGGAGTGTGGACTGTCAGTACAGTCATTTGATTTCATGTGGTTTTATGATATGATATAAAAGAGCCTCATTTATGCAGCGTGTGCTGTGAAGGTTGTGAATCCACACAAGTTCTCAGTAACCTTCATCTCAGAGCATGTTTGTTAGGCCTGTAGCTCATTTCTACTGCTGAACCCCAATCATGTGATGCTTCACTGTTCACTGCATCCCTGTGTCTGAGCACAGCAACCCCAAATACTCTGCTGGTGTACTGCCACTGTGTGTGTGAGTGTGAGTGTGTGTGTGTGTGTGTGTGTGTGTGTGTGTGTGTGTGTGTGTG